ATCTATTCAGAACATCAGCAGTGTCTCTATGTCTATATGACTGTCTATATGACTACCTATGACTGTCTATGTCTATATAACTGTCATTCATCTCTAACTGTAGCTCCTCCTGCAGTACTCTGATGCGTCAGCAGGCAGCTGAACCGCCTGTAGTAGTAGCCATCCATAGCCCCACCACTCTCCAAGCTTCTTGCCTGCACTTAAGAAGGCACATATTTCTCACAACTATGTTGTGCACCTTGACATTTTGGGGCAACCTCATATTCCACAGTGCTCCGCACAAACCTGGGAGTTCTCTTATAAATGCACATAAGTGAAAACTATCCACAAAGAAGTTGCTAAGCCTAGATTCTCTCCCAGAAAACAGACCAGACTTCCTTCACATTGAGGCCTTTGGACTATCCCCAGTGCACGGGTGAAATCTCTTCACAAGCAGGTCATTGATCTGCCAGTTTATCCTCAGCAAATCCCTCTCCCTTATCAGCCACTTCAATGGTCTCCTGGTCAGCTGACCAATGATTAAGGATATGGACCTCACTACCAATGATTGTGTTCCAACTCACAGCTGACCCTCGATCAGGTTCCTGAGAATGGAAGTCACATGGGAAGAAGCTGTCCATCTTTCTTCTGTGGAGCTTGACATTTGCCCTAACGGGCCAAGACTGAAGAAGGCAGCTGGAAACTGCATGATGGTGACACAGGTGTTTTATTTCTTACTGACATGAGACCCCGGGAGGCAGCAGGACCAGACTCAAGTCTCTCCATTCCCTAGAGAAAGGCAGCAGTAAAGCCCAGAGGTGTCCATAAAACTCAACCAAGGACAGAGTTCCAAGAAATGGCCCACGAAATCAAATGACTAAGAGATGGCAGGTATGATAGGACCTGAACTGGTTACTAGACCTGTGACTGGACCTGAACTATTCACTAGATCTGTCACATGACGGTCAAAGGTGATTTTAGTGAAAACATTTCAGGGCAAAGGAGAGAAACCTGGTGAAGGGACGGGAGAGGGTAAGAAAGAGGAAGCTCCTTCTAAGATGTCTGACTAGTGAAAGGATAGAAACAGATCACAAAGCAGTTCATTGGAGTAAGAGAGAGGAAAAAATAAACAACCTTGAATATGCTTATCTAGTGAAGAGAAAAATCAAGAGGAGGAAAGAATTGAAGGTAAAAGAAAGGGTAATGGATGGAGGATAACAGACGGTACTGAGGTTGGAGGAGGCAAGGGGTTAGAGTATCAGCAGAGCTGGGGACAGAGGTCCTGCAGAAGGAGACTGTCTACTGAGTGCGATTCACAGGTTACGGGGAAGCTGAGTGGACACAGAGGTGGTTCAGTGGTAGAATTCTCACCCCCTTGGTAAGATGGTTTGATTCCCTGGCAACACACAGAATCATGTCTGCGCAGGCTGAAATGGTGCTCGAATGCTCAATAGATCTCAGGGGAGCTTCCAGACTACAAAGGACTATCTACTGCATGGTAATCTACTTCCAAAAAGCAGTCAATGAAAACCCAACAGGTCCCAAGGGGCTCCAGTTCCCAACCGGATATGGGCTTGGTGCAGGCGCAGGCAACATTTCCTTCAATTGTGTATAGGGCCGTCGTGGGCCAGGACTGACTTGATGTCAATTGCTACAGAAAAGACCCTCAACAGGCTGGACAGACCCAGCAACTGCAGCAATGGGCTCAAGCACAGTGGATCTGTGAGGATGCAGGATCAGAAAGGGTTTTATTCTGTCGTGCAGAGGCTTGCCATGAGTCAGAGCCAACTCAAAGGCATCTAACGATAGCAATGGAAAGTCGAAGGAGTTATTTTCTTCTGTAAAGTAGGAGGCGGAAACATCTACTGAGGGTAGGATGGGAGGTGGTGTGGGAAGAGCTTGAGGAAAGAGATAGAAGTTAGGATTAGTCAGTGATGAGGACAAGAAAGTAACTAGAGATTTTGCAACACAGCCTCACGATGCTGATGGGCCTGCTGAGGGGGAGAACATCAGTCTGCAGCCTATCTACTCTGCATGGTTACGAGGCACCTCCTTCAACATTCACCAGCTCAACCCAGGTGACACTGCTCTGAATGTTTAAACCACAGAGGGTGCTCTGGTAGCCTAATGGTAAGAAGCTGCACTGCAATCCCAGAGGTACATGGTTCATATCCACCAGATGCTCTGCAGGAGAAGGAGGGACAATCTCCTCCTGTACCAGTCAGATCTGATTTGACGGTACACATACAAAAAACAAAAAAAATAAAAAAATAGACTACAGGCTCCGAGCTGGATAAGGAAGTATATGGCCGGGAGAAAAGGGAGAGGTTGTGTGCATTGGCAGGACAGGTGAAAGAGGAAAGCATTGATGGTCAAACACTGGACAGGGAGCTCTGGTGGTATCGGATCGTAGCATTTCAAAGGTGGGGCTACGAGTGACAACAATGGGGTTGCCCAAGGGAGCGTGCCGCTTTAGCAAAATGGATGGGTGTCCATGGAAATGAGACCAAGCAAGAGCAAAGTTGCCTGTCAAGCAAACTTTTTATCCCCAGAGGAACCACTAGAACAAAGGGGAGTGTGGGGACAGGAAGACTCTGAGCACAGGGAAGAAATTAGATGAAAGGAAGTCTGTGATGAGGAGGGAAAGAAAATGGAGAATTAAGAGGCAGGAGTCAAAAAAACTTACTGCAGCTTCGTGATTCTAGCTCAATAGCACCCCTACAGAACAGGGTGGAACCCCATAGGGTTCCCAAGGCTGTAACCTTTACAGAAGCCAACTGTCACGTTTCTCCCAATGAGCGGCTGGTGGGTTCACACTGCCCACCCAACACTTGATCAGCCCTGCACCACCAGAGTTCCCTGGACATACAGAGAACTGTGTGTGTGTGTGTGTGTGTGTGTGTGTGTGTGTACAGACACAGAAGTGTGTGCATACAAACACGGAAGTGTGTGTACAAAGATGGACGTGTCTGTGTACAAAAAAGGAAGTGTGTGTGTACAATGTGTGTACAAAGACGGAAGTAGCAGTGAGAGTAAGTGATGCTAGCCCTGCCCCCTTTAATTGAGGGAACTGCCTTGAGTCAGTTTAGGAGGTACAGGAAGAAGAACACTGTTTAAGAGGTTGGGGAGGAAAAGTGGGGTCCAAAAACACAGGCAGTACTGATGTGGGGAGGACAGTGAGTCCGCCTTCTGGACAGAAAGGAGACTGGTTAAAGGAGGTGAAAGATGAAAGGTCACAGGGAGAAGTTGGAGGCCTAACAAGCCTTAAGAAGTCTGTGTCCCTGGTGAGGCCAGATTATGACTTGCTGCCTGAGGCTCAAGGTTCCAGACAGACCTTGGTGATAAGGTGTCCTGTGCTGTGGTCAGCTTTTCCCATGCAGAAGCATCAGCTTAGGAGTCGGTGGGACTATCCCTGCCTTGGAGTATTTTTTCCTTCTTGAGGGAGAAAATGATCCTGTTTAGCTTTACCTCTCAGAGTGTAGTACGGACACGGGAACTCTGTAGCAAGAACTGTCTCTGGAGACAAAACAGACTGAGGTTAGAGAGTGGGAGACCAGCCTGGAAAACGATCCAGGCTGCTAGTTCCCAGTCCAGCACTAAACCCTAGCCCTGAGCTCTCCTGGGATGCGGGTCTTCACTTTCTCTGTTCATTCTAATTCCTTTCAGTGTCTTAAGTCTCTAAAACTTTGGGACTTGGATATTAACTTCAGAGAAAAGTCAGAAAATGCGAGACTACAAAGCTGGTGCCAAAGGGAAAGGCATGGTAAGGAAAAGAGGATTTTTTTTAAAAGGCAAAACCTATTTACCTGGTACTTTCTCCACACCCTCCACACTTCTTCTTTATGAGAGGTTGGTTGCATTATGTTTGGTAAAGCAACTAGTTCAAAGCCCTAAGCACCCAGTCATCAGTTGAACACAAAGTCCCCAGCCTGTGATCCACCTTTCAGTATCACCCACTGCCAGCTGATTCTGCGGGAGGGACCAGGCAAGAGGGGGTGCTGTACCCCACCAGCCAGACTGCTTCCTCTACCCTGGCCCAGATCTACCCACTCAAGAGACAGCCTGTCTTTGCTTTTCCCATCAGTCTTAGTTAAACAGCAGAAAACAGACAAATCACACACTTCTCAGAAATGGAAATTTTATAAAAAGGCATTTTTTCTCTTTATATCCATAAAATGATATAACTTTTGCAAGTATAGAAATGTGTCATAAATTATACAGAATGTTCCTTAATTACATCTCAATGCAACTTGGTACTTTCTTCCCTCCCTAAAAAACGAGAGAGAACCAAAAAAATAATATGTATATAACTGTATATATATATTTTTTATATATATTTATATAATATAGACAAACAAAATATGAAAAAAAAATCATTTCCTCTTTGGTATAAAAATCACTCTCACCTTGAGAGACACACAACACAGACATGATGTTGGGTTTGTAAACTGCATGGCCAAAAGGGATTTCCCTGCCAGACTTTCCGTTCCCCTGGTCCCTGCCCAGCCCACCCACCTCACCACCGCCCACTTCCTCCAAGGCTCCCACATCAAGCATGCAAGATCCCCATGCCTATTTCTGGCTCCACACCATTCCTAATGGACCCACTCCATCAACAAAGACAAGGAAGGGATTTTTCTCAAAGCAGATTTGGTAGCAACTAACTTGGGAAACAATCTAAGCCGGGAAAGGGCTTCGCAGACATGCTGCTGGAGAAGGGCTGTGCGGAGGAGGATCTAGTCCTGTTCTGATCCACCAGGTGCGGGGCGGGCTGCCTTCCCCCCTCCAGCACCACCCTGTATAGGAAACTACCTCCTCTTGACAGATGCTGGGGTTGGATGGGGAGGACTCCTGTTCCCCAGAAGCAGATGCCAGCTTTTCTTCTCACCTCAGAATGTTCTGGGTTCTGAGGTGCAGGTACAGGAAAGCACCTGATGAGGAGCGAGAAAGGGACACCAGGCAGGAGTCTGCTAATGAACTTCATCTAATTTAAAGAAAACCTCATTTCCACCTCAGCCTCTCCCGCCCCAACCTAAATTGTATACCCAGCTTCAGCTCACTGAGGAGGATGGGCTTACTGTCCCAGGCTCCAGTCCAAACCAGCAGGACTTGTGGAATCCAGGAATTGGTACATATATGTGCTGAGGTGGGGGGTCAGGCGACAACATTTTACTCTCAAGGTGAAGAAGGAAAGAGGACCTAACCTCCCCCTTAGACTCTCCAGCACCTTCTTAGCTGACAGGTTCCTCCTCCCCACGTCAGCCTCCCTGTCACAGGCCCACCAGCTGCTGGAGGATCTAACGTTGCCATGTGGTCCCTCCCCAGACATTCAACACACGGTCAGGCCAGGACCTCGCTGGACATCCCAGCGTGGGCCTGCCTTCTCTTGCCCAGAACAGTTAAGATACCGGCCACAACAGAAAAGTCACATAAAGACCTCCTCCGCTTGCCAAATCAAAAAGACAAAATCAAACTGGACACAAACACCAATCAAAGAGAGACACACATGATGTGGGGGCCCAGAGGCCCCAGCAGGTGTCTGGCTTCCCGGCATGATACATTCTCGTGTAATTCAGGAACAGAGGCTCTGCAGCCCCCTCTGGGGAGTAGGAGTAAAAAAATACGGAGATTACAGAGTCCTCCTTGCCGGCTTCCGGGCAGGGCAGGACAGACCCAATCTCTCACAGTTTTTTTTTCCTTCTGTTTTTGGTTCCACACCTGATCTCCCACTGAAACTGGTTCCAGAAGGCCAGCTTCTACTCTGCCCTGAGGGCCCACCCCCTCCAGCCACTCTGCCGGGAATGACCCAGCCACCCGTGGTGGGAACAGCAGGACAACTACATCAGAGAGAGGAGGGGGGCAGCAAGGACACCCCCTGGTCAGAGGGCATGAGGACCAGCAGTTCTGAGACGAGGCTCCTTCGGTGCCTGGCCAGCCCCGTGTACTTTGACCAGGGCATCCAGTCCCAGCTTCACCCCTTAAGGGGCTTGTCGGCCCCCCCGCTGGGGCTGCTGGCACTGTCACTCTTCTTCCTGCGCAGGCTCTCAATCCAGCTGGAGCTGGAGCGGGTGGTGAAGCTGGAGAGCGCCAGCGAGCTGAGCCGCATGTTCTTGCCAGACATGATGAGCTCCCCGAAGCCCTCCTGGTGGGAGAAGGCATAGCCGGAGCGCCGGGAGCCCGTGCGGCCCACCCGCCTCATGCAGCGGTGCTGGGCCTTCTGCTTCTTCCTCACCAGCTGGGTGTAGCGGACCTGGAGGGAGCAGGCAGCAAGGGAAAGTCAGACAGCACGTCAGGCAAGAGACCCCGCATCCCACATGGTGCAGGCCACATGCAGCGTGTGCCCCAAGGACAAGTGACCACCACCATACAAAGGGACCACTCTGCAATCTAGAAACTGCAGCCACATGGTTGTTAAACCAGAGGGCTTTCCTCACCACAACCAGCCAGCCCAGCATCTCACCGTGTCAGAAAGATCAGGCTTCAGGTTCAGCTTGAGGAACCGAAAGGCAACCACAGGCATGATGCAGACGACCGTGGTTAGCACAATGGTCAGCCACACTGTGGGCTGGGCCAGGGTGTTCTGGGCATTACCTGGGAATGGACAGGGGTCAGTATCTTGAGAAGCATGAAAAAAATAGAAGGGCAGTCCCCTGACTTCCCCATTCTATTTCTGGGGGCTCAATTTCTGCTATCGCAAAGTCTTCTTCCTTCCCCTCTTGGCTTCCTAGATCCAAACATATCTCTCAGTTGAATTTTGGCTCCAAAGCCTCCCTCAAGTTCTGGGCCTGTTTCTCCAATGGCCTTATCTAATTTCTCCATGGGACTTCTAACATGCACCTTAGATTTCACACGGCCATGCTCATGCTCCCTCCACCCCAAATCTGCGGCATGTCTTCCCTGGTGCAGTCAATCTTATAACTTCTCATTCTTTCACACCCCACATCCAACTGGTCGGAAAACCTAATGACTCCATTTTAACAACAACAGTGACTTCCACCACTTTTCACTCTAAGTCACCATCACCCTCACCTAGAATGTATAGCTGGTCTTCGGTGTCTACCTTTGCCTCCCACTCTACTTATCCATAAAACAATCAAAGCAATCCTTTAAAACATATGTTTATGACACTTCTTTGCTAGAAAACTTCTGATGGCATCTTATGACATTTAGACTAAAATTCAACATTCTCACTCCACTGGATGTGTGGAAATTGTCTTCAGAGCGCGCACGTGCACACATACACCATCAGGGATCTTACTCTGACTTACAAGGACCTAAATTATTTACCCTGATTTCCAGTCTACAGCCTTGCGCTCCGACTTCATTTCCTCCCCAGCTCCTTCCCTCCAGCTTAACTCCTGCCCAGACCCTGCAGTGCTGTTTCCTCTTCCTGGAATGGTTTTCCCCCCAGGAGGTTTGCTCCCTTCCTTTAACTCATTATTTCCCTGTGAAAATAACCTTTCCTATGAAGTTTTCCCAGACCATTCTTGATATTCTCTACCCTGCTTGATACTGCTCACAGAACTTATTCATTTCACATTTTAAATATTTCTGTAACTTATGCCTATCTCACTCTAAGATTCAGGAGGACAAGGACCAGTGTGCCCACAGCATGAAGAAGAGCAGGTCAGGTGCAGCAAGCGTTTGGTGAGTGAGTGTTGGACTGATAAACACACAGAGCTAAAACCAACATCAAAACCTATAAATGTGTCCTTCACCTCACGCCTCCCAGCATGCCCCTCAGTGCCAGCTACCACAGCCAACCTGGCACCAGTTCTGAGTTCTAAACAGTCTCACACACAAACATTCCAGTAACTTCCTCATTAGCCATCACAGCAGATTCATCTTTCTAAAGCAATCCTTTGACGCCATTTCCCCCACATCGGGGGGGGGGGGAGACAGGGAGGAGGCGAAGGGCTGCTGGTAAGTCAAATGTATACCCAACACTTTGGCATTCTGATGGGTGTTTCTTGGCCCATCCTAGTCGGAGGACTCTCCAATCCCTAGAAACAAATGGCCTTTTCTTGCCTCCAGCTCTCCAGCTTAGAATCCCACCCCAACCTGCTTTCCCCCTCTGCAGTCTCCTGTGTGGGATTATGCCTGGCCAGCCCAAAAGAGTGACCTTACTGACCACGAGCCCTGCCACCCTTCAGTCTCTCTCTGAGCCCTGCTGTCAAGGACCTCTTTAAAGTGTTAAAAGAGAAAGAATGCCATTTAAAGACAAAAGTGTGCCTGATCCGAGTCGCAGTATATTCAATTGCTTTATATACATGTGAAAACTGGACAATGAATTAAGAAGACTAAAAAAGAACTGATGCCTTTGAATTGTAGTGTTGGGAAAGAAGATTGAATATGCATTGATCACCAAGAGAACAAACAAGTCTGTCTTGGAGAAAGTGCCAGAGTTTTCCTTAAAAGCAAGGGTGGAGAAACTATGTCTCACGTAATTCAGATATACCAGTCCTCAGACATCATGCTTGGAAAAGTAAGAGTCAGCAAAAGAGAGGATTATCTTCAAGGAGATGGACTGTCAGTGACAACAACAATGGGTATGGGCACAGTAGAGACTGTAAAGATGGCACCGGACAGGACAAAGCCCAGCCCGTTGTTCACAGGGTTGCTATGAGTGTTCATTGACTTAAGGGCATCTAACAACTAAGCTCTGACCTCTCATGGTCTGGTAGGGTTGGTCTTCAAGTTCAAGGACATGTAAGTGTTCTGAGCAGGGCCTGGGTCAGACATGTGTTGCTATCCCCACAAGACCTTGCAGAGTCCCTAGCTCAATAAGAGGATGGCATCAAACAGCTGGGATGTACTGACTGACTGACTACACTATCAGATCCAGGACAGGTGTGAGGGAGGCTCAGCAAATTCAAGAAGCCAAAGGGACACTTACCCACAAACCGAAACTGGTTTGGAAACATGTCAAAGAGCCCCTTGCTGTGCATGGCAAAGAGGATGGCAAAGTAAACAGCGAGGCTACCCCAGATGAAGAAATGGTTGATGGCTGTCCAGTAGCCTGTATCCAGTCCAATCTACAAAAGACAAGGGCTGTCATGGGCAGCAGGGGCACCCACACAAATCCTGACCCTTACTCCCAGAAACAGAACTGTAGAACCCAGGGGAGCCCACCCTGGCCAGACAATCTAGGTGGTCATGACAAGAGCAGTTTCTGGACTTCCTCGTACCTGCATGCTAACCACGATGACCAGGGAAGTAGCCACGGTGACGGCAAAGGACTGGTAGTCAGCCAGCTGGGTGCCGTCATCCCGAGTGGCCTCAGCAAACACCCCATAGGGGATAAAGAACATGAGCACGGAGGTGTAGATGCCCTGGGCAATGCAGATGAAGAACTCCCGCTTGTTGAAGAGGAGGTTCAGCTGTCCTGGCTCATACAGCTTAGGGTACTCCATGCTCCGCTGCTCCGGAACGTCCTATACGGGGGGGCCGGGGCCGGGCAGAACTCAGAAGCTGCCATTTTAACTCAGGACGGTCAAGGGCTGACCTTCCCGTCTCCTCCTGTCCAAATACTTGACAGCTGGATCCAACCTCGCACCAACTGTCCCCAGTCTTTGTTCAGCTGCCAGGGCAGTTACAGCCACATGTCCCTGGCAGGGAGGACAATGTTCCCAGTGTGACCCTCATAGCCATGCCCCCACTCCATCTCACTGGATCTTTTAACACCCCCTCAGTACCTGATCAAAGACCCCCATAGCCAGGACTGGGAGGGAGGTGTACACGATGTTATACAGGGTGATGAAATACTGGTCGTAGACAGTCTGGAAAGGCAACAGGCAGCGAGACAGGAGTAAGTAAGCCCTGGGACAGGAGACTGGGACAACCTTTCTTCACTACAAATCAGGCAAGGGAAGCCAACACAGGGACCCTTCCTTAGGAATTCTCTAGAATTCTTTCTCCATGTCTTAAAGAAAGGTGCTAGATTTGTTTTCTTGGTTTGTTGTTTTGTTTTGTGTTTTTAAAAAAAAAAACAACACGCAGTGTGCTACAATTCCAAAGGCACAGAGTTCAAATGCACCAGCAGATGGATGGGAAGTCTCCTCCCATGTGATTATCTGCCTCTAAAAACCCTCTTGGGGGGTTAGCTATGGATCAGTTCTGATTTCAGGGTACATTAACAACCACCACCACCAAATAATAGCTAGGCCCTGGACAACTCTGCAATGAACAGGACACACAGGCCAAACGTAATCCCTTCTTTTATGGTCCAGTGGATGGAGAACGTTCACTACCTGGGCTGAGAAGCCGCAGAAGAAGCCAAACCAGAAGTGGACCATGGTGAAGGCAAAGTTCTTGTAGAAGAAGTAGCACAGGAACTTGCACATGCGAAGGTAGGACCAGCGCCCGTGCACCAGCAGAAGGCGCTGCAGGAACTTGAACTGGGAGAAGGAGTAATCCGAGGCCAGCACCGCCTGGATCCCTTCCTGTCCGCTGATGCCCACGCCAATATGAGCAGCTGGAGACAGAAGAGATGACAAGAGGGTGAAGATGGTCACACAATTCCCACCACCTAACAGCCCCCTGTGGCCTGCCATTCTTCCCTGGCCTCCCCCACAGCAAACACTCACACAGTCTACTTACTTTTGATCATGCTGACATCATTAGCTCCATCCCCTATGGCAAGAGTCACAGCCTTCTTGTATTTCTTAACCAGTTCTACCACTTGTGCCTTCTGCAGTGGGGTCACCCGGCAGCAGATGACAGCTTTGCAGGCACAGGCTGTCTCCAGAAACTCCAGCTCCATGTCTGCCTCCAGCGCGTGGGCCTGTAACACAGAAGAGCCTCAGAGAACCACAGTCTTCACTAGGAGAAACTTAGAGTCTTGGCTCCTGCATCTCTAAGGACCATGACTTCCTGGAGTCAAGTGAAACAAGGGTTAAGATAAGACAGAAAAGTCTATATGGGGAAGTACTCTCTGGAAGGATGCTCTAGTGGCCTAGACGTAAGGAAATGTGCTCCTATCCCCATGGCATGCAGTTCAAATCCACCTGCTGCTGCATGGGACAAAGATGGGGAGTCTCCTCCTAAGCGATTTACTGCCTCTGAAAACCTGTTAGAGGCTCGGTTACGAATCGGTTCTGATTCATGCCACACAACAACAACTAAGGGTGGTGACCCTTACCAGGCTGTGACCGTTGATGACTAGGGCATATTCCCCAGCAACAGCCTCTAAGACAGATGTGAGTTTGGAAGAAGGAAGTTTCTCCTGGCAGGTGAAGCCATTGCCGACGCTGCGGGACGAGTCCATCATCTTCTCCCGGGCCTTCCTGTGATGGGGAAATGGTGGAGGTGGAAGTTTCTCAGGACAGAAGAGGAGGCTTCTGCTGGGAAGGGTGTCAAGTCTAAACAGAGCCTTCCCGACCGTGTGTGTGGGTTCCCTGCTTACCTGAGCTCCTCCCGCACTTCTAGGACAGTGTGGCCAGTGACCATGAAGACCTCCGTCATGTCATCTGTCAGCATCTTACAGGAATAGCCAATGTTCACGGCCGTCTCTACCAAGAGAGAACGCAGGAGCTACGGACAGGCACCCAACAAGGTCAGCACACTCTCCTGCCTGACGTCCTACGCTCCATGCATGGACTTGACAGGGTGACCATCCAGATGCAATGTCCTCGGTCCTGCTGGGCTCTCACCTTGTTTGTCTCCAGTTAGCACCCAAATCTTGATGTTGGCCAGCGTCAGGAGAGCAATGGTCTCTGGAACCCCTTGCTGAAGCTTGTCCTCGATGGCTGTTGCTCCCAGCAGCTGAAAAAACACCCCATGCCTTGGCAAGAGAGTTGACGGGCAGGAGGGCTCAATGCCTAACCTCAGCAAATTCCACAGCCCATACCATCATGTCACTTTCAACTTCCTCATAGACGTTAGCCAGCCTATCCTCCCGGCTGTCCTGGGCCTGGCTGGCTTGGAGCCGTCTCTCAGCCCACTCCTCATAGTACTCTTCATCCAGATCCTTGTAGGCCAGGACCAGGGTCCTCAGCCCCTCCCCAGCATATTCCTGGCAACAAAGTCAAGATAGTCACACTCTCACCCTCCCACTCACAACAGCAAAGAGGAGCAGAGCCAGGGGGTCCATCCTCTCCTCACACCTACATTCAGATGGTCAGCGGTGGTGTTGAGCAGCTCCTGGTTGGAGTGGTGGAGTCTGTCAAGCAGGATGGTGTCGGCCCCTTTGCAGTAGAGTCGGATCTTCCCTTCTGGATTCCGTACTATGAATGGGGTCAGGACAGAGGAGCCAAAAATATTCAGGCAGGCAAACCCCTCTGAAGGATCTCTCAAGGGTTAGTGACAATAAGAGGTCTGCTGGATTAGGACGTGTTCCAGGAATACCTGAGACCCTCAAAAACGAAGAACCTTCAGGGGGTCCGGGTTGAAAACAACCTAGATCCAGTTCTAAGAGCTATTCTTTGTCAGCAGTCTTCTGAGTCTCTGACCCCTAAAGCGTTAAGTGCACCAGAGGAGTTCTTGCTAACAAGATCTCCTGGAATGCAGGGGGTTACAAACAACCATGCACTTTCCCTGGAATCAGATTTACATAGCCATTTGCCCTCTTGAGAAAAGATAAAGATAAAGAACACAGAGCCTTGATTAATCAGGGATAATATGATCTGGTAGGATGTTTCCTGTTTTTCTTAACCCTGAGAAAAGTGTACATGACTTTAAGTATGCTATGGCCGCTTCTGTAGTCAGAGGCCAGGACAGCTCTATTTTGCCATTCACCTACAGAAAGCTTGGTCTTTCACATTTTATCATGTCTCATGAGTCTGACCCATGATCACAGAACACCCATGAACTACACCCCTCAACCTAAACTTTAACCAGGGTCATTTGCACACATCACCGACAGGTCTGCATGCCACCCACCAACCTCCCTTATACTCCCAAACAGTCCGCACCTATGACTGACATCCGCTTGCGGATGTTGTTGAAGTCCAGGATAGCCAGCAGCTGGTAGGTGATGGCTGTGCCCATCTCATGGACGGTTATTGTTTTGGGGGTACGAGAGCGGAACACAAAACCAAAGTTCCTGGCTGCAGTGACCAGAGCTCCCTCGTCCGGTGACTGGGCTTTGTAGTACAGCTCCCCTGAGTGGGCAGGAAAAATACGCTGTATGAGGCACTGTACCTGCCCAGTCCCATAGCCCGCCCAGGAAGCCCCCTGTGGGAGCTGAGCCTAGAAGTGGACGAAGGTGGGAGGAGAGTGGGAGCCAGCTCCTCAGCTCACCTTCATTCTTTTCTTCTGACATGACGGTGTGGCACAGCGAAAGGAGGCGGAAGAACTCGTGTGTGTGGGGGTCCCCTATCTTAACAGACTCCAAAAGGCTAGGGTCCCAAAACAAGAACTTCTTGTCAGCCAGAGGGTTGAAAGAGAAGTCGATAGGTTTGGGCCTCTGAAACAGGTAAAAAGAACTCTTAAAAAGAGGTGGGTTCCAGGCTGCATCCTTAAAAAGGGTGTCCTCACTTGGTTATTACTGGCCTTTCAATGTTCTGGACCACTGTGAACTTCAAAATTCCCACTTCTGCCACCAATTCTTCCTTAAAACACTCATTTCTCCAGTTTCTTTTACCTGACCAGACAACACATCACTCCTGACTCTACCAACTGGCACTGGTCAGGTATCCTAGGTTTAATTGGCACGTAGAGTAAGTATAGAGGCTGGATCTTACCTCTCCCAGCTCTGCTTTCTGTCCCAAGACGTCGAAGACATCACCTGCACACAGCCAGGACAGAGGAGAAGCAAGGTCAGAGCTGGTGAACTCTCAGAACAGGGGCAGAGAACTTCCCAGCACAGATGCCACAACTGGAAACTCCTGCAACCTAGAACCCTGAACCCTGACTGTCAAGTAGATGTCCCAAGATGCACATTGCTAGCTCACGGTACAGGAGGTAACAGGTAGCGGGGATCTTCAGAACCCCAGTACTCGGGTAGTGAGTGAGTCAAAGCCCCTCAACCCTCCAGGGAGCTCCAGTTCTCCTCCCCAGGACTCCTCAGAGCCCTCCACCCTTTGAGCCCACACATCAGACAAAGCCTCATACACTGGCCCATAAGGGCCAAGTTAGTACAGGAAGCAGTTAGGACAGAGGCTCACACTCTGCATAAAAGTCAGCCCACACTCCACACCCTGACCCAAGCCAACCCAGCAGTTCAGCCATGAAGACACAGCATGAGGCCACACTGGGGCACATGGTCGCATTCCAGAGACTCACAGGGGCCCTGGGCAGCAGCACAGAGAGTCTAGAGCTCCACCAGGCAGCCAAGGTCCAACCTGGCCAAGACACGTAGAGGCCAGAGTCTCAGGCTTCATTTCAGTCAACAATTCCCTACTGTTGGGACTAAACCCATCATCTCACTCCAGATGGAACGGCGACCTCAACAATCTGAGGAGTAATTCCAATTTATAAGGGCACAACACAGGATAAAGAATGGAAGTAAGTATTTGCTTCCTGACTCTGGACAGAGTGGACTCTTTTTAAGGACCCTGAAACCCCCTAAAATCTAAACATTGAAACAACTGTGGGGACCCAAACTCCACCTTCTGGCGGGATAGATGCCTGAGATAGTTAATACAATGTGTCAGCTTGACCAGGGGTTTAGCAGGCAATGGGCTAGGTATTCTTCCACATAATGTAATCATCTTCCATGATGTCAACTGATGTGGTCAGCCAATCAGGTGACAGAGGAGTGTCTGTTGGGTCTGTTCTGCCTCCAGTATGCAAGTTAATGTTCTAGCAAAGCCTGTGTTCTTCTCTTCCTCTTCCTCCCTTAACATCCATGCCCTGCCTCCTACATGCTTCACTTCTTGGCATCTGACCTCCAGTTTTCAGGACATAAATCTGCAGAAGTCTCCAGTCTGCACCTGATCCATAGAGTGTGGATACAACTTCATGAACCAGCAGAGAGCACTTCACCTGTGCACTTGGGATCGCCAGCCCCCACTTCACAAACTGTTTCCTTAACGCAAATCTCTCCACATCTATTTCTGTCTACATCTCACTCCTTGCGCTCCTCTAAAAAACCCAGATTAAGATAACACCCCGGTCCTCAGCAACAATGCCATACCGTAGCTGCGGCCGTTGATGGAGCATTTATTGAAGACCATGATGTTCTGGGTGAGGGTGCCTGTCTTGTCTGAGAAGATGTACTCCACTTGGCCCAGCTCCTCATTCAGGGTGGTGGTGCGGGCCTCTGCAGGCGTCCGCTTCTTCATGCAGAACATCTTCTTGTCCCAGTTGATGAAGTAGCTGTGGCCCAGGCGGATGACCTCCACACTGTACAGGGGACAGGGAGCAAGGCTCAGGGCAGGAAAGGGTGGAGGGGCCCCTCCCCCCTGGCCCTCGGCTGCAGGCCCTCCGCCTGGGGAGAAACGAGAACGGAGCAGACACCTGGGCTTGGGAACCTGGGCAGAGAAGGGCAGGGAGAGTCTGAAGGTGGAGCCAGCCAGTAAGAGCTGGCAAAGGAAGTCCCGACTTGACACTCCAGACAAAAAGGTGCAAAGGACCTGGGCAGGGAGGGCAGACGGCACAGGCAGAGGGGAAAGGGCTGCAGACAAGGCACTCAACCAGTTCTTACCTCAGGACTAATGATACAGAAACCATGCAGAGAAAAACAAGAGAAAGTGTGAGGGAAAAAGAGAAAAAAAAAACACCCTAAAAGTAATGAGGGTGCTGTGTATGCCCCAACACCACAGACAACCCCCTCCAAGGAGCCATTCTGGGGAAAGACACCACCATAGGCGGGCTCTGAAGCCTACTCTCCACTGTAGGGGTATACTTCTTCCACCTTGGCCTTAGGGCTCCTTAAGTCTGATTCTGCAGCTTTCAGGAAAAGCCCAAGAGTTGAAATGATGACAGCGGAAGGAAGAGGCAGCCTGAAGAACTGGGGGAATAACTCAATTTACAATGGCAGAGAGCTCTGAACATTTTAAAGCCTATTCATGTCCTCTCCTGAGCTGATCATCCTCAGGATATGGACTGTTCATGTTTGTACAAAGGGCAGTTGTATGTCTGAACAATAGGGTTCCATCCGGGACCCTGCTTCTACCTGATTAAGAATCCATTCCTGCACAACTGTCCTTATCAGAGCAAAAAGAAAGACAATAGCTAGAATTTCTAAAATCTCTCTTCATTCAGTTTATTAATACCCTCAACTCTTCCCTCTACACAATTAAATTTGATGAGAAATAGATTTTTTTAAAAAAGCTTCAAGTGAACGTAGATAAAGGATATAGGTAGTGAAGCCCAAGGATCAGAGAGGGAGTAGGGTTGAAATTAGTTTTTCAAGCAGAACACAATATAGAACCAGAGTTGCAATTATGATGGGTATGGCAGCACTCTGTATTCATAATGCCGTTGTGTGCCATCAAGTCAGAACTGACTCATAGCTGATCCTCCAGCGGGTTTTCAGAGACAGTAAATGACACCAGAGGAGACTGACCAGATTTCTTCTGCGGAGCAGCTGGTGGATTCAAACCGCATACTTCTGGGACAGCAGCCCAATTCCTTATCATGAAGCCACCAGGGTTCCCTAATATTTTTATAATAATTTAATTTTAAAATGCATTTGCCAACGTAGTGCCTTACTTACACCAATAAAATTCCATGAAGACAGAACAGGAGGAAAGTGAAGCCCTAGTAACTGCATTTGCCTGAAGTCATGTGGCTAATGAGCTGTTGTTGTCAGATAGTTACTTCTTGTTCTTGTTGTTGTGTACCTAGTCAGATCCGAATCCAGCTGGCACAGGAGGAGACTGCCCCTCCTTCTCCAGCAAAGCATCTGGTGGATTTGAACCGCATGCCTTTGGAATTGCAGCACAGGTTCTTGCCAATAGGTCACCAGAGCTCCCTTAGATAGTGACTTTTGACTTACAATGACCTCAGGTGACTGAATAGAACTGCTCATAGGGTTTTCTAGGCTGTAATCTTTATGGTTATATTTGAACCACAAACCATTTAGTTAGCAGCTCAGCCATTAAACACTGCACTGCACCACCAGAGTTCTTGGCTAATGAAAACCAAAATCAGCCAAACCCACCGTCTTCAAGTCGCTTATCTTTTATAAAGGTTCTAAATCTTTCTAGGAGATGACTGCTCCAATTCTCTCCTCAGAGCTGCTGGTGAATTCCAACCACCAAGTTTTCAGACAGCGTGACATACAACACACTATGCCACCAGGAGAGGCAAAGTTAAACCATGGACCTCCTAACTCTCCACATAGAAAAGTCCAAACAGCACACATCTCAGCACAGAAACTCTTATTGATTTGCTCACTATCATCAGGACTAGAATTCGGGGCCTGGTGGCAAGAGTTGATGACTACTTAGGGAGTCTGTCTTAACAAATGATGACAGACTGGAGCTCGGGTGGCCTAGTGGCAAGAAGCTGCACTGCAATACTGAAGGCATGGGTTGGAATCCACCAGATGCTCCACTGGAGGAGGAGGGGCAATCTCCTCCTGTGCCAGTCAGATCTGACTCGATGGTACACAAAAAGAGAGAGAGGGGGAAAAAAGATGGCAGACAGAAAGAGTTGTGAGCATCTTCATAAAACATTTCCTTAAAAATGTTATGGGCTCCCTTATCTCAAGCGCGAGGCACGAAGTAGGAAAGCACGCGTCTTTCTTCTGGCCATTCTTCCTTCCTCCTCCTACAGCCTGTTTCCCTTTCATCACCACTCACCCGGCCTGGTCTCTGCCACCACCTCTTTACCGCAAACACCCTAAATGTCGTCTTGTTTTTATTCACGGTATAAACTGCCAGAGGATTCTTCTTCAAGCATTTGTTTTAAAACAGTAAATGGTTTACAAAGTCCACTGGCTCACATTCAAGATCTCTACAATTGGAAACAGGATATTGTTTCCAGCACTCCCTCCCACAGCTCCCCAGTCAGCATCTGCACTCCAGGACCTGGTTCAGGAGCCACTCCTCGGCTCTCATCTCTACGCCCCTGCTTCCCCTCCTCTCCTCCAGCCCCTCCCTCCCTCATCTCTCCCACCACCCAAAGTTGATCTCCTCAAGAGCCACCTCCTCAGAGCCACCTCTTCAGAACCATCCTGATTAACTGCTTGGACAGCAATGCTCCTCTAAACTTCACAGCACTTTGAGCCCCACCTGCTATCTCCCCAGTCTGACACATGTGTGCCTTCTCCCGTCTAGTCTGCTGCTTCCAAAGACAGAGATCATGCTACACTCTGTGCCCTCCAGTGTGCACTTAAGACTATGCAGAATGACTTCTGTTCCTATTTAATTTTCTCACGTATTTGAATTTTTCTTCCCCTACCACAAGTTCCCTCAGGGAAAGGAGTACCACCTCTAATACATGCTGTACATGTGATGCATGGCTCCAGCTATGCTTCTTTACAATATGTGTAAGATCACAAATCAATATACACTTAGCTCTAGCACAGCCCAAAGCACAAAGAAACTGTGGTAAAGAGTTTGCTCTACACAGAGATAAATAGCTAACACCAAATGTTCACAGAACAGGAGGAAGAAAATTCCAATGTCCTACTTGAGGAAATCATCTTCAAAAGGGTAAAAAAAAAAAAAGACCATGCGAATTCCCCAGAGACCCCCAAGGCAAAGAAAGAAAATACCTACCTGACATAGAGTGAAATGGGCACAACGGTGTTGAGGATTATGATGTAGGACCAGAAGGAGAGGAAGCCAGAGAAGAAGGCACTGTCCACCGCCTCATCCCAGGGCAGGTAGACCTGGAAGCGCTTCCCAACCTCATGCTCCCAGATGGCATTGCCAATGGCCAGGATCACTCCCATGCAGACCAGGAACCCAAAAATCTGTGGAAGAAGGAGAAGGTGAACTTTGCCCACTCCAACTCTCAAAACCAGGAACATTCCTAGAGTTGGGTCACCCCAAGCCCTCAATAAGTGATCATCTTTAAGAGACTGCTCTAACAGAAAGAACAGATGATAAGCTGTGCTCTGTCACCAGTAATCATTTGGCCTTCTCTCTCAAACTTTTTTTCTCATTTGTATAACAAAAATACCAAAATAGATGAGCAGTTCTGGGACCACTGTTTTTGTTGTGAGATGCCATCAAGTTGACTATGACTCACAGTAACCCTATGAACAACAGACAGGAACCTTGCCCTATTCTGTGCCATATTCATCATCTCTGATATGTTCAAGTCCATTTTTGCAAATCTCTGTGTCAATCCATCTTGTTGAAGGCCTTCCTCTCTTTCTCTGGCCCTCCACTTTTCCCAGCATGATGTCTTTTTAAAAGGACTAGCCCCTTTTAACAACTTGCCCAAATGACGTGAAACAGTTTCACCATCTTTGTCTAAGGAGCACCCAAGTTGCATCTCCTCCAAGAAGGAGTTGTTGGTTCTTTTGGCAGTACATGGGACCATGGTGGGGGGTGTTATATACATCAAGTTGGAACAGACTCCCAGCTCACCCTCCGGTGAATTTTCAGATGTAGTAAATTACACGGGAGGAGCCTGTCCATCTTTCTCCCCTGGAGCAGTTGGCAGATTTGAACTATGTGCCTTTTGGGTGGCAGCACGACTTCTTACCCCCAAGCGACCAGAACTGTATGGGACAAATGTTAGGTGCAGGAGCAACATCCACTTCCTAAACAACATGCCTCCGGAGACTCTATAAACTTTGCTAAACGTCGATAGTTATAGAAAGGCTTCAGGATTTTTGTTTGTAGGGTCACTATGTGTCTTGCTTAACAGCAGTCAACAACCATAGGTGCTGATAAAGCAACTACGACTCATAGCGACCCTGTGAACAACAGACCTGAACCTTGCCCTACCCTGTGCCATCCTCACCATCTCTGATACACCTGAGCCACTTTTACCATCACTGTGTCAACCAATCTAACTGAGGTCTTTTTTTCTGACTCTCCACCTTACTAAGCATGATATCACTCTCCAAGGACTGGCCTCTCCTGATGGTATGAGACCATGAGAAGTCCTCAAAGGTGGAAGGAGAAAGAAGGGGGGGGGGCGAAGACAGGAGTAGGAGTGCTTTACTTTCAACATGAAAAATACCAAAAAAATCCCACACAACTTGCTGTAAGTCACCTAATGCCAAGTTTCTATAATATTCATTACCTCATACAATTTATATCTTTGTTATCAATTTATATTAACTTTTTTGGGAGGAGGTGACATTTGATTGTGGTTTAGATGAAAGTTTGTATGCAAAAAATTTCCAATTCAACAATGTACACACATTTTGTTTCACGACATGAACTGTGATCCCCTCGGCGTAACAGACTCTTTCCTACCTGAGTTGTGCCCATTCACCTGCCTTTCCTGACCCGTCCTGCCTTTTGTAGCTTGTTTTGGTCTTGTGTGTTCAGGGTTCTGAGAGCACAGTCCTCAGGGCTGTTACTGTCCCTTCACTTTACAGGCTTATTAGCTGTCTGCCTGGATGATCTCGGGAATGGCTTCAGTTTTCCAGATTTGAACAGTGTCTATGAGCCACAGTTTCCAAGTCTTTATTAGACATGTAAATTTCATCTTTCTTATTGTTGTTGTGTGCGGTCGAGTCGCTTGCAACTCATAGCAACCCTATGAACAACAGCCCTAAACTCTGCTCTATCCTGTGCCAATCACAGTCTCCGACACACCCATCCCGATTAACCCAGTCACTGAATCAATCCACCTCATAGAGAGTCTTCCCCTCCTGCGCTGTCCCTCCACCCTCCCAAGCATGATGTCCCTCTCCAAGGACCGGTCCCTCCTTACAACAGGTCCAAAGTATGTCAGACGAAGCCCCAGAATCCTTGCCTCCAAGGAACAGCCTGGTTTAACCCTCTTTCTTATGATTTAAAATCTTACTTCCGAAAACGGAAGTTTGAAAAAAAAAAAAAAAAAAAAAAATCTTACTCCCACTCTGTCCAGGACCCTCTCTTGTGATTCCAAATAGAAGAGGCAGGAGACAGGCACCATCTAGGCCCTCCAGTCTCAGGATGGTGGAGGCTGTGGATCATGTGGTTCCCTGGTTCTCTGGACTGTCTCTTTCAGTCTGTTTTCTTTCCTTTGCTCCAGATGGGAAGAGACCAGTGACAATATCTTTATATGGCTGTATATAAACCTTTAAGACTCCTGTGACTACTTGCCAAGGCAGCATGAAGATCACTGGGCATATGGATGGTGTTAACTGACCCAGATGCCCCCTGAGACCATGTTCACGAATTCTCAAGTCCAGTGACTCAGTTCCCTAAGGTGTTTGGCTATGGCTATATGCCTGGATAGAGCTGCAGCACATATAAATACATATGTGAAAACATCTTCTGCCAAATCTATACAAGCTCGTGGATGTACAGCATCAAGATTTCACAATAGTAAAAAAATTTTACGAACCTCGGAATCCATTAAAAATATGCGTAAGAAAATTCTAGTGGTTAAAAGGGGAAAAAAACAACAAAACCCTGCCTGACATCTTTTTCTAATGCCACTTCTACCGTGGATGCTTGAAACAAAACAAGAACCATCCTCCTGACCATAGGACCACCAGGGGGCAGTGCAAGCCTCCCAGAGACAGAGAACTGCTCTCCCACAGGCTAAGCTTTTGAAAACCCCTTAAAGCAGGAAGGAAAGACTGTCTCACCAGAGCTGGCCCCAATCTCTGCAAGCTGGCATGTGGGGGTCAGGCAGCAGGCAGTGGGGGCGCAAGGAAAGGAGGAGAGCCTGACAAGGGGCTCAGATTTCTAGCCAAACAAGAGAAGGATTCAGGAATTGCCAAAATCTAAGTCAGAAACTTTTCCTTTGGGAACCTTCACTCTTAGAAGCCAGAGGGAAAAGACCCTATTATCTACCTTCCAAATGGAAATTTTTCTTTGAATTCCCTCTCTCTCCCTATGAAGGCCTCCTTGTCCCTGGCAAAAGCAAACAGGAGGTCACATGCTGCACCAAGTCACCACCATAACTGGAATCCAGAGAAGTAAAGATTTGTTTTAGCTTTAAGTTTTTGATTCATGCGCATTCCTAAAGTTTGTTTGTTGTTGTTATTGTAAATAAATAACATCTTCCAAGTCTCAAAAGAGCCTGAAATAGACATTGCCTTTGAGTGGCTAAATGCCAGTGGCTTTGACGGCAAAATCTTAAGCCTAAACCATCAACCGAGGAGATGGCAGCAAGAGAACTTCCTAAGGAGAAGCAGAAGGACAGACAAGGGTCCAGGTGTGGAGAGCCTTACCCAGAGCACCAATGTATTCATTAGGCGATCAATACTTGTCCTCTTGAACTTTGTCCTGCCACTGTTCTGCATCAACTTAGTGTCAGGACCTGGGAAAGAATGGGAAGAACTGAGAAAGTCAAATGATGTATCTGCCTCTGTGCTTCTGCCTCAATTCCCAGACTCAAGCCATCAGGATGGAATGGAGGCACTGGCTAGACTAGGGGGTGTATGTAGAGCTGCAATCTGGTTACCTTATATAACCTGCCAGCTTGCTCAGTCTCCTCCGGCACTCCTGCGGCTGAGTCTACCTGCTTCCTCTGGCCCCTCGGAGGCTCACCTGCAAAGATGACCAGCCCGAAGCACCACTCGGTGTTTCGCAGCACACAGCCCCGTAGCAGCATGTTCTGGTTGCTCAGGGGGAACTTGCTCTCCTTCCAGTAGAGGTTTCCACTGAACTTGTCCAGCTTGTTGTTGGGAGGCTCACAGATCACTTCACCTGAATGAGAGACCAGAGTACCACCGCTCAAGGTCTAGGAGTCTCTCCCTGGGTGGTATACTGGGTATGCACTCAACACCAGCTGAGAGGCTGCCAGCGCTAACCCCCTCAGAGCGCATTGGTAAGCCGGCCTGCAGATCTGCTCCCAAGAGGTCACAGTCTTGAAAACTCAGAGTTCTACTCTGGCAAACATGAGGTCACCATCTGAGTCAGAAATGACTTGACAGCAACTAAAAACAACAGTTCAAGGTCTAGTTTACAACTTGACCACATGACAACAAAACAATAAAAGCAGATGAAGGGGAGGGTTGGAGGGCAGGAGTCCATCCACATGCTGGGGTGGGGGGGGCATGTGAAGCACTGTAGCTCTTCAGGAAAGGAGTGAGGCAGCAAGAACTATTATTAAAACTACACATTACACTCAGAACTCATCATTCTACTTTGGGGACTCTCACCTACAAAAATAACATAGGTCAATGTGAATGAAGGAAGGTGTGAAACACAATGTATATGAATTTTGTATGCAAACCAATTTAAAAAATTTTAAAAATAGTAATAATAGCATAAGCTGGTAAGAAAATATACAGGACAATAGTTACTGAAGTCTTATTTGAAGAACAAAACGACTAGAAACAAAAGAATGGTTAGGGACTAACTAATTATGGACTATCATCTCGATCAAATACTACACATATATTAAAAAGAATAAGGTGAAGTTTCTGTATATAATGGTGTGATCTCTCTGATGTATTTAATAGGTGAAGAAGGCAGGCCAGAGGGGGTTTTTATACAATATCATCTCACTTATGTATAATTACATGTGTTGGTACAAACAGAGAAAACTGTGGATAAATATGCAGACTGTTAACTTGGTTATTTAAGGAACTTTAAGGTTATTTGAGGTCTTTAAGAAACATACTTGTATAATCTTGAATTAAAAAACAAAAATAAGCTGAATTTCTCTCAACAAGAACAGCAAGTGGGAACTGTCAGACAGAGCTCCCTCATAGCCATATGGTATTGCCTGGCATCTACCCTCTACCCACCCCCCCCAAAAAAAGGTCCAGGAAGTTGTGTAATTATAGCAACAAAAGGTCCAAAGTGAGATTAAAAGCCCAAATGCAACCTGCTTCTCCTAGGATAACTCACCATCAAACTTGGCGAGCTTACTGATGTCCCCCAATTCCGAGGTGACTGGGATCGCCTGGCGCACTTTCATGTTGGTCTCTCTGAAAAGACAGTGCCTCTGAGCCTTGGCTCTCTCCTCACCCTCTAGGCCCTGCCTCGGGCACCGAACTATTGGGTAGACAGTGAGCGGATGACACTTCTATGTACCCAAAGACTTTTCTCCTCTCCTCCTCCTATTAATTTCTCCAAAAGGCACAGAACCCCAATTTGGGGACCTCTATAATACAAAAAAAGGAGAGGGTAACGGTGAACAGGCCACTTACCCATCGAGTTCTGCTGTCTCTATGTAACACAGACCATGGGGCTCACTGCTGGAAAGGAGGAGGAGATCCGCCTAGAGAGAAAACAGAATGAAAGGTCCAAAAACCCACCTCTCCACCCCCAAAAGACCCCGATGAGCCTTTCTTCTGCTTGGCATTCTTGATTTGTTTAGGGCCAAGCACATGAATGGGGGAAAAGGATCCAGTCCCAGGTATAGCAACATGACTCAAGAAATCCGAGCCAGGAAAGGTGCCTTCCATGCAGTACATGAGGAAAGACTCATCAGTTTCTACCAAAGAGCAGAAGGAGTCCCACATGCGTAGAGGAGCACCCTGTCTCTTACCGCCACAAACTGATTGTTTTCTAGCTTGATAATATCACCAACACAAACATTCATCCACTGTTCTTGCTGGAGGCTGCAGCAATGAGAAGACAGGAGAGACTGTTAGTAGCTGGACAGGTTTCCAGGAGCACCCCTTTCCTTCCAGGGCCCTCATTCTCTGATAGGTACTCACATTCCATTGATCAGCACCTGAGACTGGCGGTTATTCACCTGGTTATCACTCTTATGGCGGAACTAAAAAGAAGAGTTGAGGAAAATCAGACAGACACCTTTGCCCACTCCAGGGAATTCAGAATGCTCAATGGAACCCACAGCTTTCTAGATAAAGTCTTGTACAGTCACATTCCCAGACACATTTTCTCCACGATGTCCATACTCATGTGCTCCTGCCCCCACCTCAAGGTAGCACGGATACAGCTGCACCAGGGGAAGGAAGTCAAGGTGACCAAGGAATTGCGCTAAGCATCAAGTTAGGGAGAGATAAAGGGAGACAAGCAGAATGAGGACAACTCACATAGTCATCAGTGGCATCTTTGACAGCTGTGATGGTGAGGACAAGAACCAAAGGCACAATAGTGGTGAACCAGGACAGGGAGGAGATCTGTGGGATCAACTGAACGGGGAAAAGAGGAAGCACGTCTCTGAGACTCCATTCTACACCCTCTTTCCCCCAGACCCTCTTCTTTGGCTTTATTTTCGGCTTAGTGATTTGCAATGGGTCTACCATGGGTCGCTCACCTGCAGGATGAGAAGGAACAGGAAGTAGGTATTGGCAACTTCCTGGAACTGCTCAAAGAGGTTGACGGGCAGGAAAGTAAGAATATTGTACTTGGATGTCTTGATGCAGTTACTCTGTGTAGTGGGAGAGAAGATACGAAGACAGCCTCAAACCTCAATCTGCAACCTGACTGAGGCTGACAACGCCATCTTCACATTTCCCCAAACTTTCGTTCCAAACTCAGCAAGCACTAGTGTGTGTGCAAAGTGAAACAAGGCAAAGCATCTCATGGGATCAGTGCATCCCTTCACTGACAAGTGAAGGTATTAAAAAAAAAATGCAAGTCTAGCAGCAGACATAGAATGAGGAGGGAAGCTTCCCTCTCCTTCCCCAAGCACCCTCCCAGGGAGCTCTCTGTCTCCCCGCACTGTTTTCTCAGACCCAGAGTGAGGAAACAGATGGTCTACACTCACTCACCGCATACTGGAATTTCTCATTGTATTCTCGGTCATTGGCTCGTGCCCTCCTTTCTTCTTCTACGAAAGAATGAGGCTGCAGTCAGGAGGGCAAGCCGAAGCCAGATCAACACCTTGTCACACCCACCCACTTTGCAGGGGTCCAATGAGGACGCTCAGTTCTTTCCATAGTATATAACTGTGGAGGAGTCACTAACTGAAGGGTCACTAAATTCTTCCCTTTCATCCACTTTTCACCACCATCCCAACCACACAGTTCTGCAGACATCACATCACACAATGGTTTGGTTGGGGTTTTTTTTCCCCTCATCAACAACTATCAAGGTCTTCCTCTTGGGACATTTGATCCTCTGTCCTTTCCCTCTGGAGAAGCTTTAGGAGGAGCCATTAACAGGCTTTAGAACTCCAGGACCTTTTTGCTGCTATTATTAATGCAGTCAGTCTACATCATACCCAAGGAATAATGGCAAAGATACAAGTTTTGTTCCCTCTTGGGGACTAATGTCCTTCTAGTTATGGTACTATCTGTCTCCTAACCTAGGGACAAGGGGTGGCAAGGAGGGTCACTGTGCCCTGGAGCTGCTCTGCCGCAGCATCCCAGCCCCACGTGTAACTCCCCTCATAGGAGCCTCTGCTTGTCACATGTCACCAGCAGCGGCTCCTGACTGGCCCACAATGACATCACCTTATTTCAAAGCTCATCTTCAAGTAGGAGAAGGGGGGTCAAGGATGTGGGTCATACAGGCTGAGATAGAGATGGAGGAGGAAGGAATGGGATGTAACGGGAACAGTTGTCTTTCTAGCTGTAATCTTTCTTACACTATCTGGACACATTTTACCTAAACAACAATTTGTCACTGAATGACAAAATGCCCCCAGCTATACCTATTCTGAACCTCCACAGGTCCTGGGATGCAGTCATCAAGTTCAAGTGCCAGAACACAGGACTATCCTATGAAGGATTCCCCAACCCACATTCAGGGGTCACCATGACCTCAGAGTAGCAAACAGGCTATCCTGGATAGGCAATAAACATAATCCTTTAACCCTAGGGGCAGAGGCGGCTTTCCAGACCCCTCTCCCTACCCTCCCCCAAATCTCCTGCAGAGCATACTGCAGTAACAAATCCTCAGCCGCTGAAAAGAGCACCCCTTTACTGAGTGGCCATTTCACTCCCACAAACTTCCCTGCAGGGGTCCCTGGGGCTGAGTAAAGCCTGCGCAATCACCAAAAACCATGTAAAGGAAAACCATGCAAAAGAAATCGCCGGATCTGGAAAGGAGATGATCAGGGAAGGTTGGGGGACGCAAGGTGAAACAAACGGGGGGGGGGGGGGCTTCAAAACGGAGGAAATCATGAGTGAAGGAGAATGACCAGGCACTGCCGCCCGTTACCTGTCCCCCAAGAGGGCTTCTTTCGGCTCCAGCTCGGGGGTGCCCCGGCCCGAGCCCACTTCTCAGGCATCTCCTTGGGGACCGTCATGATCCCAAGTTTGCGCAAGTAAGGATGGCCTATCTGTCCGTCTTTGGCCTCAGCGGTGCTGACGGGGCAGCCCCCGGGGGAGGCAAAGGTGCTGCGGCCACTCGCAGGGGAGCCCCAGCTGTCCAGCGCACGCCTCACCCGCAGCCCGGGCCATCCTCTCGGCTGCTGGTCCCGGCTCCCGGCTCGGCTCCCAGCTCCCGGGGACGCCGCGCACTCAGCTACTGCGCTGCTGCCGCCTGCGCCCCGCCACCACCTCCGCCTCTAGTGCCACCCGCCGACTTCAGTGCGCTGAGCAGCCCGGCCCGCGGGGAGCACACACCGGGCTGCGCCCCCGCCCGCTCCCCCGACTGCAGGGGCAGCGGCCTGCCAGCGCCGCGTAGGCGAAAGCTAGCGCGCGAGCCCCTCCTCCCCCTCCACTCCCACGGGCTGCGGCCAATGCGGGGCGAGGGGACTGCCTGCGTTGTCTGGGGCAACCGCTTTCATCCCACCCCCCATCGGCAAGGGAGGGGGGAAAAGGGGAAAAAAAACACACAGAGAAAGACTTAGGTAGATAGACATAAAGGTCGGAGAGGAAGAGAAAACATAGGGGGAAAACAGAGGGGAAGAGACAAGAATACAGTGCACCAGGCTCACAAGCCAGAGAGTTGGGAGCTGCAAGTGCCCCAAGACAAAGGTGCAAGTGTTTGGCTGTGGGAGACAGATGGTTCTTAACCCCCTTCCTGTAGCAGCGGAGAACCCCCTCCTAGAAACCAAGTAGAAGGCCTCTGCTGTGTAGATAGTGCCCAGGTCGGTAAGGGTTGCACTCCACCCAGCCTTAACATGGTCCAATCTCAATGATCCCAGGGATCTCCTCCCTTCCCAGTTTGTCTTACCTGGGGGGCGCTTTTTTGCACACAGTGCCATCTCACCCAGCAAAGTTCCAGCCAGCCCATGGGAGACCCTGAAGAAAAGTAACAGACCCATGAGGTCCATAAACTGAGGGTAACACTTCACAACCTCCTCCCCAGAAGATTCTTCCCCTGCACTGATGGTGCTGATCCTGCCAACCATTTTCAACTCCCTACCAACACTTATCCTACTGCCCTGAGGGGTCCCTGGGGGGGAGGAGGGGAAGAGGGGCTCTCCCCACTACTACCTCCCGTCATTTCTCTGCCTTGTATAACACGAGGTGACTGACAAGTTTATAGAAGCTAAGGCCACAGGAAATGGAAGGGGGCACACAGAAGCAGCCAGATGTTACAGGAGGCACATAGCTCTCAGGTCTCCATCCCAGGTACAAAGGATGCTCCTATGCACCTTCCTAGCTTCAATGAGTAGTGCCTGTGTTTACTAGAAAGCAAAATTTCCCCCAAAGGGTGGAGTTGAGGGAACAGGAGCCAGGAAACACCTGGCAGGGCATCAGGAAATAGGGTGGGTAGACTCCACCCTTCTCAAAAAACTTGCAAACTCCCCATCCCCACCCCCATTACTGGGACTCCCATCATTATCACCTCCTCCACCAGAGCTCATATTAGAAGCACGGTTCTCACTTCCTGCCTAGACCGTCCCCACATGGCTTCCTCTCAAATTGTGGGGCAGGCCCCCTGGGTCAGCAAAGGGGTCTTCTGGGTCTGCCAGGGAATTGTCCTCCTTTCACACCCTATCCCTTCCCCAGTCAGCATGGCACCCTTAGCAGCCTCAAGAAACATCTGTCAGACAAGCCTCTGAGTCCTTCCATCTCCCCATGTCCTTTTCTCTTTCTCCTAAAAAGGTAAAAGTCCTGGCCTACAAGACAGTCTCAGAGCCTCTAACGCCTCAGTCTGGTCCAAAGGCAAAGGCCAGAGGAGTTCTAGGTCATCTTGCCACCTCTTCTCTTTGTCTGGGTGGAATGTCCTCCTCCTCTTCCCCTCCTTCATTCCCCTCCCTCCAGTCTATGAGGCACACCCCAGCAGCCTGTCAGCCCCAAAGATACTAATTGCCTGTCTGCCCAACCTCTATAATTACAGACTCTGGCCACAACCCAGTCACCCACACCATGCTCCCTCCCTTGGCAGTCTCTCTCAGACTCCCTCCCTGAATCCCAGATCAGGGACTAGAGAAAGCCAGAAGTCTTTTCCTCCCCGACCCTCCCCAACCATGGCAGTCTAGGGTGCCGAGATCAGGAAGAAATGCCTCATCCACATTTTAGAGATGCCAAGGCCTCCTCCAGGGCCCCAGCCAGGGTCTCCACCCAGTCTAGAATATGAGTCACAAGAGGGTGGAGTGAGGAATGAGAGGTTAAAGAAGAGGATGCAAGGGTGGGCATCACAAGTCCAGTAGCCAGCCACGACCTCAAGAGACACCACCTCCCTGAAGATCTGAATTTGAGTCTCAGCATAGAGTTAATGAAGGAGCCACACACTTCAGGAGTCTGGACACCAACCAGAAAAGTTGTTCTACCTCTAAGGCCCTAAGGAGACAGAAAGCTGTTTTGGTCCCAGACCAAATCCCCTCTGGGGGCTGTAACAGGAAAGGAAAGAGAGAAGAAGACCTTGGAACAGGGATACCCCCACATCTCATTTCTTCTTTCAAGTTTCACAAAACTTGAGTTTTCTGAACGGTCAGGCCCATCAGCCTTAGCCACGTTGCCTGCCCAGTCACCCTGACCCAGCCCCCTCTGCAGCCACATTTGGGATAAAAATAGCCTGGGAAGAAGGTAATGCCCCACAGAGAAAACTGTTCCTCCTCTAAGCTTGTTTCCTGCTCTCTCTCATCACGACTCCCAAAACCTGACCCTTTCTATCAAAGAAGCCTGTTAGGAGCACTGGTGGGCTTGTCAGGGAAGTAGGAGGAAACTGAACCCAAGACCCTCTCGGTAAATTTGGTACCACCTCCACTCCCCAGCCACCTTCCATTCCCAAGGGCAGCACCAAGACTCACTCCACAGCCCTGAGCCCTCAGCCTCGAGCGGGACGGGGCTTAAGATTCTCACACAATGATCACCTTATATCCCTGGGGTTTTCTCAGCACAGAAACCTCCACCTGACACAAAGCCTGGGTCCCAAACTCCCTGGAACACACACCCCTCACATCCAACTCCTTCCTTCGCACCAACAACTCTCCGGGATAGCTCTCCCTCTCTGCTGCTCCCTCTGCTTCTCTTCGGCATCTCGCGCCCCCTCCCTGTTCTCCACGCGCCCCTTCAGCACCTTCCCCTCTATCCTGGCTCCTGATCGCCCCTATTCTCCCCTTGGCCCTCCAAGGATTCCGAGCTCCTGTTCCGGGCCCTCTC